TCAGAGTTCTTCAACTCAATCTGAGCTTCCATCTCCATCTCAAACTCAGCCTTTGCAGTCCCCCTCCCAATTAAGTTTGAAACAAAGCGGGCAAGATAGACTTGTTGGCACAGATCTGCTGCAGAATCACCTGGCTGTCCACCCACTTGCAAAGTAGTTGGATCCCTGGGGAGTGTCAACCCCACAAGAGATAACTGGACCCGGATACTCTTCCATTGGTTTTGCATATCGTTAAGGATTTCTTCTGCTTGCTTCCTCTTCTCTATCTCCATCAACAAACTCAATCTTATTTCACGCAATTCAGTTTCAATATCAGGAATTGAAGACTGAGGGACACTCTCTGATGACAATTCTGAGCATGAGATGAAAGTAAGTCATGAAAAACCACTCTTAAGATATTAAAAAAAATGAATTCATGATGTTCGTGATAGTTGATAACTAACAAAGTGGTTCATAAAAATGTTCATATCACCTCCACCCCCTTTTCTCCCTCTCATTTTATGTAGACACACATATTAATTCTCGAAGCAATCCATCAAATGAGTAGACATAAACAAAGCATTTAGACAAACAAATGCACGGTACACGATCACGTTATCAGAATATTTACTAAATGCGTGTAAGCACTTACATTTTGTTCTAGATGTACTCAAGAAAGAAAGAAAATTTTATCTTCACAAAATTAAAAGGCGAAGGCGAAGGTACCTTCCCAAGCATCATAAAACTCAGCTGTTGGTGTTATTGAATTCAAAGAGCGCTCTGCTCCACCAACACCCTCACTTTCACTATTGCTCTTAACACTCATCAAGTCCTGGCTATCAAAGAAATCATCTACCTCACCATCTCGCCGCAAATTAAATCCGACAGACTTCGTCGCACTATGTTTAACAGTTGAACCATTGGTCGAATCACTGCTTCCATGTTTTCCATCAGACACACCATTCAGATCCTCCTGGCTGGCAGCATTTAGAACATTTGGTGTATAACTATCATCCTCAAATGCGTCCACATGTTGCTTATGAACACAGGTGTCATCCTTAGCTATGCTTGCAAGCTCCTTTTCAGCATTTTTTCCATTCTCATTGAACTTATTCTCATCCACGCCTCGATGGTGAGTCACAACATCATCCTCAGAGAAACACTTCATGAGTCGAGGGCCTCGCCGCTTGTGATTAATGATATAAGGAGATGGAGGGAATGAAGAAGGGGCATCGGAAAGTGGAGTTGACTCTGGAGTAGCATAGAGTGCGGGTGAGATTTGAGTCCAATTGTGTCTTCGATCGAAAACAGCCGAAGTTGATGAACCATTTGTCCTATCGAGCTTTGGATTAGCCGGAACACTAAGTCCCCTCTCTAGCTTTGAACTAGGAGCAATGATTCTCCTATCGAGCCTCGAGTCTGGAGTACTATTTCTCCTCTGGAGTTTTGGATCAGAACCATTTCTCACCTGCATCACGGACTTGTCATCTCCTGGTTCGATCAGCCTGTCCAAAGCTATAGCTGTGAATGTTGGCATGACTTTCCAACATCAAACAATCTGCATGAAAAATTGATTCACAAGTAACACGTGACAGGGAAAAAAGAACAACTGTGTAAAGTTTGTTGCAACAGAAAATGAAAGACTTCAATTTCCATCTCTTATTATCACAGAAACAGTACAGGCTACAGAAGCTCAAAAATCTTCAAATAACTTTGATCAGTCTTTACAAGTGTATTAAACTAAGCTCCCAAGTCGTAAAATCAATTAATTGAGAATGGCTTGATTTTTTAACCTCCAATGAAGTTACCAAATTATTCAAAGAATCAGGATAATTACATGTGAAATCATCAAATTGAAAAAGTGTTTAAAAGGCATAGGCTTCTTAGCAACAGCAATAACAACATGAATGTAAATCAATTTAATTGTTCTATTAGAAAACATAGACTAAACAAAAATGAAAAAGAAAATCTCGAATTGCTAGATATAAAAACACAGTCAGCTAATCCAAAACTAAAAATCATAAACGATTCATTAATAAATAAATAAGGAAAGGAAAAGGAAAGCTACCTGAAGAAGAAGAGGAGAAGGAATAAACCCTAGAAAGGGGAGGCGAGGAGAGATCAGAGACGAATTAAAGGGATTCAAAATATGAACCAATTTGAACGATATCTTCATCTAAAATGCATAAATATGTTAAGAATAATTATAAATTCACAATTTCTCTGTCTCTCTCATCTCCCCTAGAAGCTAGAAGTTTGCCTAACCTTTGGAAGAAAGAAAAAGAGAGCTTTGGGTGCTTTGCTGGCCGTTTCACCGCAAAACACATTTGAAATGTTTCTTGTAGCTCACGAGGATAAAGTATTGTTTGCCTAAGATTAGAAGGTTTAATTATAACCAGATAATTTATTCTTTCTAGAGAAATTTTCTTTGGCTAATTAGCAGAAATGGTCCACAACGTTTACATTCTTTGCTAAAATGGTCCCTATCGTTTTAAAATTGACATTTGTACCCTTATTTCAAACGTTTCTTGGGGAATTGGTCCTTCCATCCATAAACCGTTAAACATCTGTTAGAACCTTTGGGTAATTTGCAGAAATGGTCCATAT